GTCCTGCATTTCGCATGATGTACTCTGCATATAAGTTAAACAAGCAGGGTGACAACATACAGCCTTGATGTACTCCTTTTCCTATCTGAAACCAGTCGTTGTTCCATGTCCAGTTCTAACTGTTGCTTCTTGACCTGTATACCAACTTCTCAGGAGGCAGGTAAGATGGTCTCGTATTCCCATCTCTTTAAGAATTTTCCACAGTCTGTTGTCATCCACACAAAGGCTTTGGCATAGTCAATAAAGCAAAAGTAGATATTTTTCTGGAACTCTCTTGCCTTTTCGATGATCCAGTGGATGTTGGCAATTTGATCTCTGGTTCCTCTGCCTTTTCTAAATCCAGCTTGAACTTCTGGAAGTTCACGGTTCGTGTACTGTTGAAGCCTGGCTTGGAGAATTTTGAGCATTACTCTGCTAGCATGTGAGATGAGTGCATTTGCGCGTAGTTTGAACATGCTTTGGCATGCACAGCCATTACCAATGCTTAATTCTGGAGTATCTTCATCTCCCCAGAAGAAACCCCGGGCCCAACTGCAGTCACTTCCCATCCCCCCCACCCTCACCCCAGCCTTTGGCAACCACCAACTGGCTTTGTATGGATTAGCTTACTCCGAACATCTCATAGGAATAGAACCACAGGAACAGAAAAGGTTTGCTTCTTTCACTGAGCATCGTGTTGCCAACGTTCATCTGTATTGTCACATGTATCTGAATTCTGTCCCTTTTTGTGACCATTAATATTCCCCTGTATAGACAGACCAGTTTTGTTTATCCATTCATCAGTGGATGGGCAGGTGGGTCGTTTCCACTTCTGGGCTGTTAGGAATCACGCTGCTGTGAATATTTGGGTGTAGGTTTGCACAGACATGTATTTTCTGTTCTCTGGGATGTCCACCAAGCAGTAGAGTTGCTGGATGTGTATTTTTGAGGACCTATCAAACTCGTGCCAAACTGTTCTGTTTCAGAAGACCATCTTGCTGAGATAGGACTTTGGCGTTAGCTGGAGGAGAGGGTTCTCAGCAGGGCGAGGAGCGGGCAGGGCCCCTGCCAACAACCTGCCCACAAAGCCCAGTGTTCACATAGGACTTCAGGCACGGCCTCCCCCTCAAACCCAGGTGACCACTTGGCTCCCCCGTGGTGACTGTTTTCTCTGCGTTCTCCCTACTCTAATTTATTGAAGTATAGCTAATTTATAATGTGGTGGTAATTTCTGCTATACAGCACGGTGATTTGGGTATACATATGCGTGACTGAACTGAACTGAATGTGTATATCTATATGCACTTTTTCATATTCTTTTCCATATACTTTATCATAGGATGTTGAATAGCGTTCCCTGTGCTATACAGTAAGACCTTGTGTTTATCCATCCTGTATCTTATAGTTTGCATCTACTAACCCCAAACTCCCGATCCTTCCCTCTCCCACCTCCTTTCCCCCTTGGCAACCACAGATCTGTTCTCTGTGTCTTTGGGTCCGTTTCTGCTGCACAGATAAGTTCACTTGTGTCGTATGTTAGATTCCAAATGTAAGTGATATCATATGGTGTTTGTCTTTCTCTGCCTGACTTACTTCACTTAGTGTGATAATCTCTTGGTCCATCCACATCTCTACAAGTGACCCAATTTTGTTCCTTTTTATGGCTGAGCAGTAATCCATTGTATCTGTGTACCACATCTTTATCCATTCACCTGCTGATGGTCATTCAGGTTGCTTCCATGTCTTGAAAAGTGAAAGTCGCTCAGTCGTGTCCAACTCTGAGACCCCACGGACAATAAGTGCATGGAATTCTCTAGGCCAGAATACTGGAGTGGGTAGCCTTTCCCTTCTCCAGGGGATCTTCCCGACCCAGGGATCAAACCCAGGTCTCCCGCATTGCAGGCGGATTCTTTACCAACTGAGCCACAAGGGAAGCCCATGTCTTGGCTATTGTAAATAGTGCTGCTATGAACACAGGGTTTCCCAGGTGTCTCAGAGGTAAAGAATCCACCTGCCAATGCAGGAGATGTGGGGTTGATCCTGGGTAGGGAAGAAGGAGATGGCAATCCACTCCAGTATTCTTGCCTGGGAAATCCCATGGACTGAGGAGCCTGGCAGACTACAAGCCCATGGGGTCGCAAGAGAGTTGGACACAACTTAGCAATTAAAACAACAAACAACGAACATAGGAGTGCATTCATCTTTTTGAAGTAGAGTTTTCTTCAGATATATGCCCAAGAGTAGGATTGCTGTATCATTTGGTAATTCTAGTTTTAGTTTTTTGAAGAAACTCCATGCTGTTTTTCCCACCAACAGTGTAGCAGGGTTTCCTTTTATCCACACCCTCTCCATCATTTGTTATTTGTAGACTTTTAAAAAACAATGGACATTCTAACCAGTGTGAGGAGGTACCTCATTGTAGTTTTCTTTAATAATTAGCAGTGTTGAGCATTTGTTCATTGTTCCTGTTGGCCATTTGTATTTCTTCTTTGAAGAAATGTCTGTTTAGATCTTCTACCCATTTTTTGATTGTCTTTTTTGTTACTGAGTTATATGAGATGCTTGTATATTTTCGAAATTAAGCCCTTGTCAGTCGATCATATCATTTGCAAATATTTTCTCCCAGTCCATAGACTGTCTTTTCATTTGGTTTATGGTTTCCTTTGCTGTATAAAAGCGTGTAAGTTTGATTAGATCCCATTTATGTTTGCTTTTATTTCTATTGCCTTGGGAGACTGACCTAAGGAAACACAGGTGTGATTTATGTCAGAGAATGTTTTGCTGTGTTCTCTTCTGGCTTTATGGTGTCATGTCTTACATTTAAGCCTTAACTCGTGTTGAGTTTCTTTTTGTGTGTGGTATGAGGATGTGTTCTACTTCACTGATTTACATGCAGCTGTCTAAACTTTTCCAGCATGAGCTGCAAAAGAGATTGTCTTTTCCCCATTGTATATTCTTGCCTTCTTTGTTGAAGAGTAAGTGATGTTTAGGTGAGTGTGTTTATTTCTGTGCTAGCTATTCTGTTCTGATGATCTATGTCTCTTTCTGTGCCAATACCATGCCATTTTGATTACTCCAGCTTTGTAGTACTGTCTGAAGTCTGGGAGGGCTATGCCTCCTGCTTTGTTCTTTTTCCTCAGGATTGCTTTGGCAATTCTGGGTCTTCCATGGTTCCATATAAATTTTAGGATTATTTGTTCTCATTCCGTGAAAAATGTCATGGGTAACTTGATGGGGATCACATTAAGTCTCTGGATTGCTTTGGGTAGTATAGCCATAGCCATTTTAACAATATTAATTCTTTGAATCCAAGAGCATGGGATATCTTTCCATTTCTTTGAATCATCTTCCGTTTCCTTTGTTAATGTTTTACAGTTCTTAGCACGTAAGTCTTTTGTTAGCTTGGTCAGGTTTATTCCTAAGGTTTTTTTTTTTTTTTGGATGCAACTTTAAAAGGAATTGGTTTTCCACTTTTGCACTCTCCCAGCTTTAAACCACACTGTCCTCCCCTGTGTCTGCCACCTGTGGGAGTGCTCTGGGCACACGCACGGTCTGCCTTCCAGTGAGGCTTAGATACCCCAACTGTCTCTACTTACTTGTCCTAGACCTGGAAACGTTCTGGGCCAAAGAACAGTGGCATTTCAGAGTCCTGGAAAAGAAAATCGCCTGGAGAAGTTTTTTCAAATGTTTGTATTTTGTTAGGAACAAGCAAGTGGAGAGGAAGGGACTTTCCAGTTGTGTAGTCATGGGCACATACCTTAGACTCACTAAGGCTGTTTCCTCATCTGTAAAATGGGTTTAAAACTGCCTACGTGGCAAGGGGATTAAGTGACATATTGTGGACAGGGCTCCCAGTAGGATCTGAAGGCACTCAGAAGTACTCCCCTGACTGCAGGCATGAGGTGCTCTTACAGATCTGAGGTTGTCAGTACCCCCCCCTTCCCTATCTCCCCACCACCCTTCCCATGTCTTTCCTTCCACCTTTTCTCCTCTCCCTTGTTTTCACTCTGCCCACAGCTCCCAGGCAGCTTTGGGGTCCTCACGGTGTCGACCCCGACCTGGGGAGCTGCTGGCTTTCAGATCGCCTGGCGGTTTTCAAGAAGGGCCAGGCTGAATCCTCTTAGGAAGGATTAGATTATGCCCTGGGTCGTCTGCAGCACAGACTCCCAGGTCAGGGTAGCAGCAGACCTAGCAGGTGGTGTCCAGCCTGGCACCCCTGGGTCCCTCGGCAGCATGGAGGGAGTTGCATGGTCTAGTTTCCCCTGTCTGCCTCCCTGGGCCCCCGTTTTCTTCCCCAGGAGACCCTCGCCAGAGCTCTGAGTGGCCCTCGGCTCTGAGCCGTCAGAGAGGCTCTGCTGTAGGGATACCACTCAGAGCAGAGGCCAAGGCTGTGCTGCATGAGGTCCGTTGCCAGACAAGGCGTGGGGACAGGGCTGCAGGGCAGGTAAGGGATGAATGAACGGACGGCTTCCCAGGCCGAGGGCTCCTGACACATGGATTAGTACGTTTTAAAACCTCACAAAAGATGACTATGTAATTAACACATAAAGTTAACGAAGCAGGAACACATGAAGGGACAAGAACCCCAAATCCTATCCTCTTGAGGATGAGTCTCCCCAAAACTGCCAGTTAATTCAGAAAACTGAAAAGCAAAAAAAGTGACCCGAAAGGCCTAGCTAGGAATCCCTGGCTCCATTCCGGGATGTTTGTCCCAGGCAAGAGGGGTTTTCTTGGCGCGACCCTCGGGCCACCGCCTCCGGAACCGGGGGGAGCGTGCCCGGAAAAAGTCTTCAAGAAACCAGTGCACACGGGAGGTTCCGTCCAAACGAACAGGCCGTCAGCCCTGTGGGTGAGCTGAGCTCTCCTCAGGAACCGGCGGGCCACTCTCCGCCGGCCGCCGCCCGTTTACCTGGGACGCTGTGCTGTGCCGACCGCCTTCCCCGGCCCCCACCGGGCAGCAGGCGGCGGCACAGCCCGGCCTCTGGTGACCCTGCTCTGTCCCTCTGCTCTCTCGTCCGCAGCGGTCAGGAATGACAGGAACAAGAAGAAGAAGGAGCCTTCGAAGCAGGAGTGCCCGGAGAGCTACGAGATGACGGCCGAGCTGGACGACCTCACCGAGAAGATCCGCAAGGCGCACCAGGAAACCTTCCCCTCGCTCTGCCAGCTGGGCAAGTATACCACGGTGAGAGGCCCCGCCCACGCCGCGCCGCCACGCACGCACGCACAGACTCCTGCATATGCTCATGCACGCATGCGCCCTCGCCCTGTCGTGCAGCCGCACTAGCACGGACGCGGAGACACGTGCGCCCACCCGCCGACCCTCGGCTGGAGGGACCCGGCTCGGTAAGGGGACTCTTCACCACCGCGTCCAATCTGCAGATTTCAACTGCGGTTGCGTCGAGTGGGCGCTTCCTCCCTCACAGTCACAACGCACAGGTGGGACCCGTCCTCACCCGGAGGCCCTTGCTCCCGGGGACTTCTTCCTGAGCGGAGGGGCCGAGGGGAGCCAAGGAGTTCTCGGCGGTCTCGGCAGACAGCCGCGGGGAGTGCAGGGCTTTCCAGCTGGGAGAGCCCGCCCGCGGGGAGCGAGGCTTCCGAAGGACGAGGGTGGAGGGGCCCTGGGAAAGCAAAGGGGGGCTGCCCCGCGAGGCCCTCTGCTCCCCCCCTCCTCCCCCGGCATTGGCTCGCTGGGTCTGAAATGAAGAGAAAGGGGAGGTGGGGAGGCGGGGCAGGAAGCCTGTGTTGGCTGCTCTGGCTGTGCCGGGGAGATGGCGTCAGGTGTTTGGATTTTTCAAACTGATGTTTGTGCGTGTCGTGTTCACTGACGTGTAAATGTTTCTAGTGAGTAGCAGGTGATAGGCCCTCAAGAATGAGTGAGTGTAACTCGAATGTCATTCTGGGTTCTTAAGTTCACGTTGCCCACCTAAGATGCAGGTTCTTTTGTAAAAATTCCAAATGTTGCCGTTTTGCTGATTCGATGACTGATGCGCTGGAAAAAGAAGTGCATGAAAGGTCATAGAGATAAGAAGCGATGATGGTGCCAGAAAAAGAGTGAGTGAGGCGCCTACAGGCTGTGTGGTCAGTGGCACCAGCTTCTGAAGAGCTGGCCCTGGACTTGGACACAGGTCCCCTGGCAGACCTGCCGACAAGGAGGAACCGAGAGCCTGCTTCCCCCTTGGCCAGCTTACAGAGCACCTGGAGCCCTTAAAGTGCAGGTTCTAATTCAGCGGGTGTGGCTCCCAGGTGCCGCTGGTCTGCACACCACACTCTTGAGTAGCAAAGGCCACAAATGCACTTCAAGTAGCAAGACCCAGGATGACATTCTGGGCCCGGCACCCCATGCCCTGGTGTCAGGGAGAAGAGATGCTGGCCCATCTGTGAAGGTGCTGACCTGGCCTGGCTACTGACCTAGTATGCAAGTCCCCTTGAACTCAGGGTACCATCCAGCCCAGAGCACATGCAGGATGGGCAGCGTTGGGAGCTTTGAGGTCAGCCTGGAAGGGGGAAGCAGGGCCAGAGACCTGGGTGATGCTCTGAATCAGGAACCAGGCGCCAGGTGTATATGGTTTAAATCCTGCTTAACCACCAAGCAGCGGTGCGACTGTGTGCTCGTTACTTGACTTCCCTCTGCCTCGGTTTTGGGTTTCAGTCTGTAAGCAGTGGAGAGAAGTCTAGTTTGTGATGAGGGATCTTTATTACGGTTACTGTCATCGTTACTACAGCCGATGCTCACTGAGCATTTAGTTCGTGCCGAGGGCCATACCGAGTCTCTCACCTTGTGATTTCTTTGGTTCCTTCCAAGGCCTTCTTGAGGCCGGCACAAGGCCCCAGAGGAGTAAGTCACTTTCCCCGCATCCCATAGATACCAAGTGGCCTTAGACACAGCAGTCTGACTCCAAGGCAGCTCTTTTAACCCCAGACGGTGCCCTGCACCTCAGGAGGGTGGGCGGCGAGGCAGGATGGAGGCATGAGCCCCTGGGCATCTCTGTAGGAGGAGGGGCTGTTAACCAGGAATAAATCAGACATTTTGCTCCAGAAGACAGAGAAAAAGAGAACTGTCACGGCAGGGAGAGCTTCCTTGAGGTGGAAGCTTCTGAGCCAGCTCAAGCGGTGAGAGACAGATGAGGGGTCACTTGCTGTCCGGTCGGGGCCCCAGCCCTCTTCTGCTGGCAGGGATGTCTTAGGGTGGCCTCGTCCATCTTGCAGACCCTGACTCACCTGGTCATCAGGTAAAGTGGCGGCACTCTGGTCTGGAGGGCAAGGCAAACACAAGTACGGATGGCACTTGCCTTTCTAGAGCATATGACCTGGGACCAGACCTCGCCTCAGGACGGTCCCGTCTGTGGTCGGCACACCAGGACTCGGGTGGGCCTCTCTGGCCCCTTCCCCACCTCCCTCCTCCTGGGGAGCCTCTCCTTTGGGATTCTCTTTGGGCCTGAGGTCTGACCCACCTGCTTCCAGGCTGGGGGGCTCACGCGGCAGGCCGGCAGGCCTACCGCCCGCCTCAAGGCTTTGTGTGGCTGCGGGGTGAGTGTGGTACACACGGGGGGCTGGGGTAATGGACACTCCTGGGAGCAACCCCCACCCGATGGCAGAGAATGACCAACTCCCCGGCAAGGTGGAACCCCCTCCCACTGCCCTCGCCTCCCCTATGCTTCCCGGAATTTCTGCTCAAAGGAGCAGCTTGTGTTCGATTCCTAGCCTCAGGGTCTGCTCTCAACCCCAGACAGGGGCTCCCCGAAAGCCTCCAGCACCCCTTTCCTTGCCTCTTTGGATCTAGTGTGGAGTGTGGCTGTTAAGTCCCATCTCCTGATCCCTTGCAGAAGCCACTCCAGAGCACGGGGTCTAGCTCTTTTTTTTATTGTAAGCAACTTTCAGTCCTTTCTGGAAGTAAATAAGTAACAGCCAGCACAATACATTCTTTGCAGGCTCTTGGTTCTGGGATGAGCTCTTTTTATAAAAAGCTTTCCTACAGGCTATGGCTCCCACTGCGAGGGAACTTCGTGCACCTTTGCCAGGCTGGCACCCTCATCAGACGCCTGTGGCAGAAGTAGGCGGAGAGGAGTTAAAAAGGCAGCTAGATGCCCATCTCCAGATCCTCGAAAGAGTAGCTCCTTCTCTTCCCTAATTAGGGTTGATTTGGGACCCTAGTCAGGCATCCCTGTGGCTCAGCTGGTAAAGAATCCACCTGCAATGTGGGAGACCTGGATTTGATCCCTGGGTTGGGAAGATCCCCTGGAGAAGGGAAAGGCTCCCCACTCCAGTATTCTGGCCTGGAGAATCCCATGGACTGTGTAGTCCATGGGGTTGCAAAGAGTCGGACACGACTGAGCGACTTTCACTTTGGGATCCTAGTCAGGGCCCAGGAGGCTGTGGGAGGGCAGGGCAGGAGCCTGGCTCCCACCATCCACGCCCAGGCCTGGGCAGGCGCTAAGCTGCAGGCTCAGCGCTGTGTTCCTTGGAGAGACTTCTGACCCCTCCCCCAAAAAACAAGGCAAGGAAGGAGTCCTTGTGGGGGCAGGCAGTGGATGACCCACCCTCCAAAGAGGAAGCAGCCCAGCGCCGGGACGTTAGCTCTGCTTCCTTACTGAGCACCGCCGTGGCGTCCAGGTCTGAGGGCCTCCGAGGCCCAGGTTCAAGCCGTGCCCGGGCTGCTTGGGAGCTCCGTGACCTTGGAGCCCTGTTGGAGCCCTGCCGCTCATCTGTGTTTCGGGACTTGGGGCGGGGGCTGCCAAGGAGGTTAAAGAGGGGCACGAACCCGCCTTTCCAACACACAGTCGAGGTGGGCAGGGCCCCCCCCCCGGACCTGTGCGGCCTCACCCGGGCCTGGTTCCACGGGGCGGGACAGAGGTGATATCCAGGAGGTGCGGGCCCAGCCTGGGCATGCAGGCTGCCCTCCCGGGGCTTGGGGGTGTGGGGAGTGGCACTGTGGGGCCATGAGGAGCCCTTAGTCCACTTGGAGAAGGAGCGCGCGTAGATTGCAGAGCACCCTGGATCCCCAGGAGGAGCAGCGGTCTCGCTCCATCCTGCAGCTGGTACCCCAGGCTCAGGCCCTGCCCTCCAGCAGGGCCCCTAATTGCTGAGACCACCTGGCCGGCTAGAAGGGCGCCTGCAGGCATCTTAGAAGGGGGGTCCAGGAGCACCCCTGAAACATTGTCTTCAGGGAGATCCTGCCCCATCTCCCTTGCTTCTCGCCAGACGTCTTGGGGGGCCCTCCCCTGCCCCCAGAGTGGCAGGGCTGTCGGAAGCACCCAGGTCTGAGGACCACGCAGCATGTGTGTTGGGGTCTCTATACCCCATCCTCCTGTGGACGGACGTGCCCGACTGCTTCTTCGCTGAGTCTCTGGACCACAGGGAGGTGCAGCGCGTCACGCCCTTGCCATGGCCAGGCCCGGCATCTTCCAATCTCAGGGGTTTCCAACCAGGAGACAGGCTTCCGGAGACAAAGTCCAGGCTCTGCAGTGCCCCAAGGGGTGGGCCGGGCCACAGACTGCCTCTCACTTCGCTTAGGTCTGCAGGAGGGCGGCGATCCACCCGCCAGGTGAGCGGTCCTGGGAGTTGGATGGAGTGCGTGTCCAGTGCTGAGAAGAGGCCTGGCTCCTGGGAAGCCCCGAGGAGGGGCTGGTCTGCGAGCAGCATCTCTGCTGGAGACGTGACCGTGGACGCCGGGAACATGCTTCCGATGAAACTCAGGAGGGCCTCGGCTTCTCAGGGCAGAGACACTGGGCCTCCTGAGGCCCTCGCCGCCCCGGGACCCTCAGCTCCGTGTTCCCTTTCAGAGTTTCTGCAGACGGGCTTGATGTCCCCGCGACCCCACCTCCACGTCTGGGCCTTGTTCTGGAAGTAACTCCAGTCAGAGCAGCAGAGAGCCGGGCGGCGGGGAGGGGGCACCTTGCGCGACCACAGTGGCCGTTTCCCTGCATATCGGTGGGGCTGGGCTGGGCCACTGCTCCAGAGGCCTGGGGGGCGCCTTCAGCCCTCACGGGGCAGGCTGGGTCCTGCCCTCCGGGGGGCTCTGCTTCTCTGAGCCCGTCCCCCCACCCTCCTTCCCCAGTGCCCCCCAGCCGCCTCCATCAGCGCCCCGAGCGGGCCGAGCTCGCGCTGATGGCCAGGTTCAGACCTCAAGCTGTGGGCCCAGCACCCCAGTAGGGACACACCTGGTGGCTGTGTTTTGTCAGCCGCCTCTTCGCTTCGGTCTGCGTCATGGTGAGTGAGACTCGCCTGCCGTTCGGATGGTTCTACGCTCTTTGCCGGCGCCTGGCCAATTCCCTCCTGCAAGCGGAGGAGGTCTGTGCTCCGCCCCGTGCCGGCAAGGCGGGGACGGACCCTCTGTCATGAGGGGCCTCACCTGCTCACACCCACCCACGGCCAGACAGAGTGCAGGGTGCGCCGCCAGAAGGACGCGGAGGCCTCCCGCTGCCCGGGTGCGCCAGGTCCACGGGGACGGCTGGAGCGGTGAGCAGGACCGCGGCCTCTGCCTGCGTCGGGGCTCTGAGCAGCCCTCACGCACGGCTCCCTTGCAGCTTCAACCACCTTCACAAGCAGAGCTCCATGTACAGACTCGGTGAGCCGAGCCTCCAGCGCTCTGGGTTCAGCTGTGTCCCAGGGGGTCCAGGCCCAAGCCCCAGCTGCGACCTTGCCTCTCCCTGCCTGCCAGGTCCCCCATTCCCTGGCCAGCCTCATCCTCGTGTCAGCTTCGGGAAGCCCCTCACTCAGCCGTGTACTCAGCAGACGTCTGAGCGCCCCTGCTGAGGGCGTGGCCCCTGGGGACAGGGCATTGTGTCGGGGCTGCAGCCTGGAGCACAGGCGGCCCCTGCAGGGGTTGTCATGGAGTGGCTGGGGTAGCCCAGGCGTGCCAGGCTTGGGGGCGAGGGGTGCACCCAGGGGCAGGGCAGGCCAGCAGGAGGGGTGGCCCTGCAGAGAGCCTGAGGCTGGCCCCGCTGTGCGTCTGCCCAGGGGCGGAAGGGATCTGGGGGAGGCGAGTCAGCTGGACTGGACGGCCTTGCAGGCTGCGGGGAGGACTTGGCCTTCTAACCTCAGTGAGATGAGACATGTCAGCAGCACCGTGACTCGCTGTGATTTAGGCTTTAAAAGGATGCCCACATGCCTTTGGTTAAAGAACTCACTGTGAGGAGGCCAGGGCGGAATGAGGAAGGTCCAGGCGGGAGGTTTTGGGGGCCTTGGGGCAGGACCCCTTCCCCGGGTCCTGACACCTCTCTGCGAGGGGAATGTGAAACTCTCACCCCTAGTCCATCTTAACCTGTAACTCGACATCAGTTAGACATCTTCCTGTTGCGGGTGATAGAAGCCAAACGGAGATCAACTTGGACTAAACTATAAAACCCGGGTGTGGTCCGGTGAGGCTGGATGCGGCATCTCGGTGTCCCCAGGAAGGGCCCTCTGCCCGTGGCCATCCTGGCTTTCCCAGGTCGAGTGGAGCCGTCGGTTCATCAGGTTACAAAACAGTGACGCCGCCTCCCATCCCTTCATTCGTTGGCGGGAGTAATTGCTAAAGAGAGCTGCTCCACTACTCGGTTATCCACTGGTCTGGGGGATAAGATTCTGATCATTTAAAAAAGATGAATGTAAGCTAAAATGTCAACTACCAACAATGCACACCACCCCCCCGCCCCGCCCCCGAGCCCCAAGGCTCCCTGGTGAAGACGGAATTGTCTGCACGTTCAGTAGGAGCGGTGTTCGGTACCTTGCCTTCCGCCGGGCTTCCCACAACTAGCCCTGACCGCATTTTCTCTCCCTGTAGAATTCCAGCGCTGACCATCGAGTCCGGTTGGACCTGGGCCTCTGGGACAAATTCAGTGAACTGGCCACCAAGTGCATTATTAAGATCGTGGAGTTTGCCAAACGCCTGCCAGGTTTCACCGGCCTGACCATCGCAGACCAGATCACCCTGCTGAAGGCCGCCTGCCTCGACATCCTGGTAGGTGGGCTCCATGCCCGCCGTTAGGGTGGGTGAGGAGGAGGGGCCGGGGTGCCTCTGGGGACACCCCCGGGGCTCTGGGTCTGCTGCCTGATGGCCAGGGGCGCCCCCCAGAGCTGGGCAGCACCACCTACTCCCCCTGGGGTGGGGGCCCCTCTGGGTGGCCTGGGAAGCGGCCCGCAGCCCCACACCATGGCTCCTGGGCCCTGGAGGTGTGAGGGCCCGTCACGCCCGTCCTCTGCCCAGCGCTGGCCGGGCTGGTGCCCTCGGGCAGGGAAGCTGTGGAGGTAACAGGGGCATGTCCCGCCTGGTGTGGGGGTGCAGGGTCTCTGGAGGAAGTTGGATGCAGGGAGAATGACGTGAGCTTTCGAGGTGTTTGAAATCATCGATTATTCTTTGTGTTACACCTTTCCTAGCTTCAGGTATAAACAGTTCTGCCAAGCAAATCCAGTTACTGTAATTAGATACACTCTCCTCCTGAGGAGGAGGGAGGACTTGGACAGGTCAGTCGTGTGGGACACACAAGTGTGTGTGTGACTTGGACGGTCTAGTCATGCAGGACACACGTGTGTGTGTGTGTGTCTTCCTAGGGAAGTTGGATCTCAGGAGCGAGAACGGTTACTCTGGAACCTGCAGGTGCCAGGGATCCTGAGTGTGTGATACCATCTCGTGAAATCAGCGGGTCTTGGATGAGCCTAGAAATGTTCGGGACAGTGAAACGTCTGAGCTGGGCTGCCTGTCTTGTGCCCATGCCTGTAGCTGGTAAAGCTCAGCTCGCCTGATGCGGTGCACCGCAGGGACCAGCGTCTTCCGGGTGTGGTGGGCAGGGCGCTCCTCGCGCCTCCAAGGGCGCGCGGCAGTGCGGGTCTGAGGCTCCCGGCGCGAGCGGGGGGGCGTTCAGGTGTGGCCCCAGGGACGGAGCCCCTTGGGCCCCTGGGTCACGTGGGGCCCCACCTCCCAGCGCAGCCTCGCCGCAGCCAGGAGGTCCCGGGACTGGGGTCCTGACCCCGCGCCGCCCGTGGGCCTGGCGCCTCCAGGCTTCGGGCTCCTGGGTCTCACTTCTGTCCGGGTGCCGGGTGACACTTGTGATCCCTGCACCCTCCATCCTCTGGGCAGGAGGGCATGAGGGGAGCCGGGGGGAGGGAGGGTGCCGCCTGGTGCTGAGGCAGAGCCCGGCCGCTCCTTCCCGGGACCCACGCGTCCGCCCTTCTCCGTGGAGTCAGGGGGGACGGGAGCTGCTTTCCGTGGCCTCTCCTGGCCTCAGTTTACCCACGTGTAGGGCAGGCATGAGGTCACCCGGTCCTGGGCAGAGGGTGGAACGGCCCGGGGTCGGCCAGCGGCCACGAGGGGAGCGCGGCGAGACCTGCAGGCGGCTACAGGCTCTGGGCCCAACTCAGGCGGTTTTCCATCGAGCTTTGCTGGCTTCTCGGGTGCGGCGTGGTGTTGGCGTGCAGTAGGCGGGGGTAAGCTCTAGCAGGGGCGGAGGAGGCGGGCAGACGGAGATACTCACGAGGCCTTGGCACAGCTGGTGTCCAAGACTTGTGGCAAAGACCCAGATCCTGAAAACCTCCGCGTCAGGGGGCGTCTCTGGAGTAAGGGCGTGGCCGGCTGACTGTTGAGAGGAGGCCCTGCGGAAGCCGGGAGCGCTGCGGGCGGAGGGACAGACGGACACCCCCAGGGCGGGCTGTGCTCAGTCCTGCGAGCCCCCAGGCCGACCTGGTGCTGCCCCGGCCACCAGCACGGCGGGCGTTTCTCCCACGGGTCAGGCCACGGAGGTCGCGCTGGGGTGGGCGGACGGTCCGAGGCCCGCACGCCCCCGTGACGCCCAGCGCCGTTTGGGGCTCGGGGGTCCGTCCAGGGAGGAGCGGTCCTGCGTGACCCTGTCCCCCGCCCGGGACTCGGTGGAGACGGGATCCCGAGGGGAGCGGGTCCCTGTGAGAAGCCTCCGCCCGCGGGCCTGGGAGGAGCAGCGCTCTGTGCCGTTGCGGCCCCGTCGCGGAGTCTTGGCCGACTCTGCACCCCCTGGACGGCAGCCCCGTCTCCTGGCGAGGCTCACACTGGCGTCCTCAGGGCTCCCCCGCGGCGAGGCTGTTGGGAGAACGGAGGCCGTCCTTGCTGGAAACCCTGGCTCAGCCCCCGCACGTCGTGCGCCCCTTCCCTTTGGCCGTCGGGCCCTCCTCAGCAGCACCGGCGCCTGTAAGCCCGCCGCGTCTCTGTGTGTGTGCACAGGCGGCCACGCTGTTGTCTCGAGCTGTGCTCCCAGGACGGCATGGAGGCCGCGGCCTGAGAGCTGCGCAAGAGCTTGTAGAGGAAGCTTGGTTTCAGACTTAGCGCTTAGTAACATGAAGTATTTCCTTTATGATTCTTTAAGTTGATAACTTGTTAACACAGTATGTTGGATCTCTTGGGTTAACTAAAACATATTGTTAGATTTTTAAAAATATTTTATAGTGGAACATAGATGGTTGGATGGCATCACCGACCGAATGGACCTGAGTTTGAGCCGCGCCAGGAGACAGTGCTGGGCAGAGGAGCCTGGGGTCTGCCGTCCAGAGGCCGCAGAACGGACGCGGCTGAGCGACAGCAGTTGACTTGCAGTGTTGTTTGTTTGAGGTGTACAGTGCAGTGATTCGGTTATACACGTGTTCATATGTCTCTGCTCTTTTCTCACGTTCTTCCCCGTGTGTGCCATTGCAGAACGCTGAGCGGAGTTCCCTCCACTGCACAGCAGATCCTTGTTGATCAAACATAGTAGTATGCACATGTTCCCCCAGACTCCTCGTCGATCGCTCTCTTCCGCTTTCCCCCCACAGTCTGTGAGTCTGGTCCTGTTCTGTAAATAAGTTCTTTTGCATCATTGTTCAGATTGGACTTTTAACGGAGACCCTGTGGCGTTTTTCTTCCTCTGACTCATTTTACTCACTGTGACCATCTGTAGGTCCATCCGTGTTCCTGCAAATGGCACTGTTTCATTTTTTAAAGTGGCTGAACAGTATCCCATTGTAAACACACATACCACGTCCTTATCCATCCGTCAGCGGACACAGGTTGCCTCCACGTCTTGGCTGTTACAATGCTGCTTTGAACATAAGGGTGCATGTATCTTTTCGAATGATGGTTTTCTCTGGATATACACTCAGGAATGGGGTTGCTAGATCATATGGCAGGTCTGTTTTTAGTTTCTTAAAGAACCTCCACACTGTTCTCCGGAGTGGGTGCACCAGTTTACATTCCCACCAACAGTGGACGAGGGTTCCCTTCTCTCTGCACCCTCTCCAGCATTTATTGTTTGTGTATTTTTTTGATGAGAGCCGTTCTGGCTGGTGTGAGGTGATACTAATATCTCATTGTAGTTTTAATTTGAATTTTTCTAATAGCAATGTCAGACATCTTTCTGTGTGCCTGTTTGCCATCTGTATGTCTTCTTTGGAGAAATGTTTAGGTCTTCTGACCGTTTGTTGAGTGGGTTGTTTGTTTTGATGCTGTTAAGCGTCCTGAACTGTCGCTAAATTTGGGAGATTATTCCCTTGTCAGTCACATCATTTGCAAATATTTTCTCCCAGTCTGTGGGTTGTCTTTTCATTTTGGTGATTGTTTCCTTTGCTGTGCAGAAGCTTTTGAGTAGGTGCTATTTGTTTGTTTTCATTTTTATTTCCATTATTCTGGGAGATGGATCCAAAAAAGATAATGTTGCAATTTTATATCAGAGAGTGCTCTGTCTGTGTTTTCCTCTGGGAGAGTCAAGAGTCCAGTCTCAGATTTAGGGCTCTAATCCATTTTGAACTAATTTTTGTGTGTAGTGTTAAGGAATGATCTGATTTCTTTCTTTTTTTTTTTACATGTAACTGTTCAGGTTTCTCTGCACCATTTGTTGAAGAGACTCTTTCCAACACTGTGTAGCCTTGTCTCCTTCCATGATGGACTGATGATGGGGCATGGTTTATTTCTGGGCTTTATATTCTGTTCCATTGATCTTTATTTCTGTCTTGTGCCAGAAGATGCTGCTTTTGACGACTGTAGCTCTGTCATGTGGTCTGAAGACGGGCCTGATTCTTCCTGCCCCATTCTTCTTGTTCAAGATTGCTTTGGCTTCTGGGTTTTGTGTGTTTCTGTACAGATTGTTAGGGATTTTTTTTTTATTCTAGTTCTGTGAAAAACTACTATTAGTAATTTAATAGGGATTGTATTGAATCTGTGGATTGCCTTGAATAGTATGTTCTATTTTGACAATTTTGATTCTTCCAATCCAAGCATGTGGTATGTCTTTCTATCCATGTATCATCATCAGTTTTGTTCATCAGCATCTTACACTTTTCAGGATATGGGTCTTTGGCCTCCTTAGATACTAGGTTTATTCCTAGGTATTTTATCATTTCTGTTGCAGTGCTAAATGGGATTGTTTCCCTAATTTCTCTTTCCGACCTTTCATTATTAGTGTGTAAATACGCAAGAGATTTCTGTGTATCTCTTTTGTACACGCACCTCACTGCATGTATTGATGAGTGCTAGGTTTCTGGTAGCCACCGTAGGATTTTTTATTTATAGTGTCACGTCATCTGCGAACAGTGACACAGGTTAGTTTCTTTTCCAGTGTGGATTCCTTTTATTTTTCTTCTCTGGTTGCCATGGCTAGACCTTCCATAAATGCTGAATAGAAGTGGCAAGAGTAGACCTCCTTCTCTTGTTCTCAATCGTAGAGGAAAGGCTTTCAGCTCTTCACCATTGAGTATGGCGATAGTTATGTGTTTGTTGTATATGGTCTTTATTATGTTGGAGAAAATTCTGTGTCCATTTTCTGTAGACTTTTTGATCATAAATGGGGTTGCATTTTGTCAAAAGCTTTCTCTGCATCTATTGAGATGATCATATGGTTTTTATTCTTCAGATTGTTAATGTGATCACATTGATTTGCAGATACTGAAAAATCCTTACATCTCTATGATAAATCCCACTTGCCATGGCATATGATCCTTTAAATGTATTGTTGGATTCGGTTTGCT